ATACAAATAGACATAAAATTTATAGGTGTATAATCTGTTTTGTGTGGTGAAGTAAGGTTTCAAAACAGTGATTTTTCAAAAGAAGCAGCAGATTCTTTACTGATCTCTTTTAATTAATAGATATGTAGAAGTAGAGCTTTGATTTTCATTGTGTCCTATGGTTTTTAGAAATAGCAGATGCTTTAATGATCTGCTAAACCAACTCTGAGTTTTTGGAGATGAGAAAACTGAGGCTCAGAGTTTGAGGAGATTTGTCCAAGATCCCCCAGGTAGCATCTGGTAGAGCTGGACTTGAGCAGGTTGTTGACCTCCTGGCTCTCTTTCCTCTGTAGCACACAATTTGAGAGCTTTATTCATGTTTCTTATTTTCTTCTGATTAAAACTGCCTGTTATAAATGGGCAAGTTTTATTCACCTATGATGTTTCTTTTACTTGTTTTTCATGGCAAATTGATGAAATTGTGTTATTCTGAAGTCATATGTTATATAAGCACATATAATTTCAGTCTGGTATGCTCACTGTTCCCTGCCCCCTACCCCACTACATCTGTGTGACGAATTCCACTTATAACCAGGGCTCAAGTCCTCTGTGAGTCTCTGTGCAAAGCAAAACCTCCCCTGGATACTCACCTCCCCTCACCCTTGGCAGCTGCTCCTCTCTCTACTCCAGCAAGCCTTTGTATATGGAAACATGAGCACTCCTACATTCTATTGTATTTATTTATTCATTCATTTATCTTTTTTTATCCCCAGTTCTCCAATATAGCAAATGAAATTCTTTATAGAACAAACCCCTACATAACTTAAGACTGTTTTAACCTTTATTTCCAATTTCATTTGTGAAGATATATTATGTCATCCTGAATGTGGGCCTGTTAGTTTTGTTGTTGTTGTTGTTGTTTGTTTTGTTGTTGTTGTTGTTGTTTTGAGCCAGAGTCTTGCTCTTTTGCCCAGGCTGGAGTGCAGTGGTGTGATCTCGGCTCACTGCAAACTGCGCCTCCCCAGGTCAAGAGATTTCTTGCCTCAGCCTCCCGAGTAGCTGGGATTACAGGTGCATGCCACCACACCCTGCTAATTTTTGTATTTTTAGTAGAGACAGGGTTTCATCATATTAGCCAGGCTGGTCTCGAACTCCTGACCTCAGGCAATCTGCCTGCCTTGACCTCCCAAAGTGTTGGGATTACAGACGTGAGCCACCATGCCTGGTTGTGCCTGTTAATTTAATCTTCCAAAAGATTATGAATCAGCTTCCTACTTTTTAACCGATATTTACTGAGCATCAAGTACTGTGTTACAAATAACCATAGGACTTGCTTCTGTGGACCTTATGCCATGAAATCTTCACAACAATCCTGGAGAGTTAAGTTGGCCTCACTGATACATAGATACAGAAACAGAGCAGAAAGAGGGCACATCTTTTCTAAAGTCTACTGAGCGGCTAAATCTGAGATTCAAACTTGACCATTTGAACCAGTGTTTAAGATCTCCACCCCTCCATCCTGCTGCCTCTGCATCCCTCCTTAACTCATTAATCAGATTTTTTCAATATGCCTATACTTCAGCAAGAGAGAAGCAGGATGGTGGGCGGGGAGGCAGGAGGGGTGGGGTTGGGAGAAGTTTTGGAGTACATTCTTTGGATTGTCTGCCTCAAACATACCCCTCCAAAAGTCATCACTACCAATATGGAAGTTTAAACTGTTATACTTTTTAAAGAAGAGGACTTAGGCCCCCTCAGCTCTCTGTTATTGTTGCCTTATTTTCTGTTTATCACTTATCTGATTTAATTTCTTACCGTTACTTAAAAAAAAAAAAAAAAAAAAAAAAAACTAACCACTGAAAGGTAGTTCCTAATTATCCCAGGATAGTGAAGAAGAGGGGGATGGCATATTCACATTACTAGTTGATGCAAAATGTGGAAGAAGTTGATGCCTAGTAGCTTCCTCCTACCAAATTGTCAGAACTTCTATATAATAGCAAACATACATTGCATCTGCTTCCCCCCACCCCACATCTTTTAATCTCAGAAGTCCAATTGATTCATTAAGTGGCAATATTTAAATGGTAAAAAAAAAAAAAAAAAAAAAAAAAAAGCTAAAAATGTCTTCGGTTTCCATCACTTGTACCTGAAGAGTTAAGAGTTTTATGAGGCTGGGTGTGGTGGCTCATGCCTGTAATCCCAGCACTTTGGGAGGCTGAGGCAGGTGAATCACCTGATGTCAGGAGTTTGAGACCAGCCTGGCCAACATAGTGAAACCCTGTCTCTACTAAAAATACAAAAATTAGCCAGGCATGGTGGTGCCCTCAGCAGGCTGAGGCAGGAGAATTGCTTGAACCAGGAGGGGGAGGTTGCAGTGAGCCGAGATTGTGCCACTACACTCTAGCCTGGGTGACAGAGTGAGACTCTCTCTCTCAAAAAAAAAAGAAAGAGTTATATGTAACTGTGTAATGCTTCTCCCATGTTGTGAAAACTAGACAGTGTCACTGAGTTGTGACAATCAGTCCTTTATAATTCACTGTTGCTCATGTTTTGCCTCTATCAGTACTGAAAAGTAAAAGGCAGGCCCTTTCATTTACATAAAATAAAAAAGACCCAGGAAACTTTTTAGCTTTTTGAATAACTCAGCTCTAGAGGCAGAGCAGGAATGTGTTTAAAAGAATTAAAAGTGATGAGAAGTGTTTATCTGTTGATAGAACAGCAGCAGCCTGAAGGTTGATCCTGCCTGCAGCTTTGAACTGTTTGATGACTATTTGTCTTCTCCCTTGCAGTTGTCAAACAAGGGAAGCAGGTTTTGAAGGGGCAACAGTGAAAGAAGAAAGGGAAAAAGGTCTGCCCTCACCAGAGGAAAATGTTCATAATGTAGCTACTGATCCGTGTAGTCCAGCTGGAAACCCTACCAGAGGCAAGGATTGTCTTTGATTTGTATAGGCCACAGCTTGGCTGAGTTTTGTTAGAGCCATTGTTTTCAAATATTTTTCTTACTATCTGAACTCTTTTATCAAATAAAATATCAATATATGAAACAGATAGTAGCAGAGTTGCTCTGGTTGCAGTAGGGGAGAAGGCCTGGTCCCTGCTTCCTAGGCTTCACCTTCCCTCTAATAGCAGATGCTCAAATGTCAGATTTCCCCCAGGAAATAATTCAGAAAACAAACAAGGAAAAGTGATTGGTGAGATCCCTTATCATCCTATTGTCCTGGGGCCAAGGGGAGTGATGCTTATACCAGTGGTTCTCAAAGGGTAGCCCAGACTGGAAGCATCAGGATTACCTGGGAACTTGTTAGACATACAAATTCAGAATCCAGATCTCTCACCTGGAGCCCAGCAACTGTGTTTTAATAAGACCTGTGTGTCAAGACCACCAAAGTTTGAGAACCATTACTAGAGCAGTAGTTCATATTTTAAGCTTTCCCATATCAGTTGTGTAACTGGATCCTCAGAGAGGCAGGTACCACTTGCAAGAATGTTAATAGAGGAAACACCTGTGAGAGAAAGTGAGGCCAAGAGCTGGAAAAGACTGAGAGAGCTGCTGAAACTCACACATGTCTACTCTGAGTGGAGGAGAGAGGGAAGGAAGATTGGGTGGAAGCATCCCAAGACGTTAGTACTAATATCTGGGTATCTTGTAATTGGTCTCCATTATTTGTCATTTCTCTTGCAAATCTCATATTTTCCTGGATATTTTGTGTGTGTGGGGGGGGGGGGGCATGTTGGGAGCAGTTGAGTAAATTTAGTAAATGTTTTCTAGTCATGAATGATCTCTTGTGGAGACTCTGTATTTTGATATACTCCCCTGAAGAGTGCTGTTTTAAAAAAATAGTCACTTGATTTTGCTGGACCCAAACTGTAAACTCTTTCTCTCACCTCAAATCTTGGGTTAGTTCTTGTTAGCTTTAGCTGTCAGTGCTATATGCACATCACAGGGGTCAGCCACAGTTGGAACAAAGTTTATAGACTCTGCATTTTGGACTCTCTCCTTTCTGGAATTTTCCCTTTGCTTTCCAGTACACTTGTTTTTTTTTTAAACTGTAAGTGGTTTTCTTTTAGCATCATATTATCAAGGTACTCTATTCTAAGGAGTTTCACAGCAGTTTGAGCCTTATGCTGATTTTCTTTTGCTTTTGATTGTTTAAAAACTCTAAACATTTGTTTTATTGCTTGAGCAAAATATGCCTTTCTACTGGCTTATACATTCATAAAATCAAAGACTTTAATATTCATCCCACTGTTTAGACATTATCAACATATATTTCCTGATGAGTGAATTGATTTATTCATTAATTCTTCAAACCATTGCCCCCTTCTCTGTCTACACTGTAGACATAGATTTCTCCATTACTCTACCATATTGGTTCTCAAACCTTAGTCTACATCAAAATCATGTAGAGGGGCTGTTATGACACAGATTGTGGGGCCTCACCCCAGCGTTTCTGATGCCACAGGACCATTCTTTGAGAATGACTTGTCTAACCTTGGTGACAAATTATCCTTGTTTGCCAGAGACAGCTCCAGTGTTTGCACTGAAATTTTCATGTTCCTGAAAATTCCTTAGTCCTGGGAAAACCAGGACTAGATCTGGTCACTTGATAGTACATTGAAAACTCCTGAGTACTTTTCGAAACTACTGCTGCTTCCCACTCCTCACTCCTCTTGGCCCCACCTCCACCCCTTGCCTTCTATTTAACAGGTTTGGGGTGTGGTGTGGGCATTTGGATGTTTAAAAGCTGTCTAGATGATTACAATTAGAGGTTTGTCAACCACAGCTCTAATCGCAAGCCTCACCCCTCATTGGAAGAGTTTTGGAAGAGTTTGGTACTAGCTATTCCTTCGCCTGGAACATTTTTCCTCTTCAGTGGTTCTCAGTCCTGATTATTAGCATCAGCTGGGGAACATTTAGAAAATACCAATATGCAGGCCCCCACCTCCCAAACCCAGTGAAAAGAATCTCTGAGAATGTAGCCAAGGCCTTGATAGTCCTCAACTCCTCAGGCGATCCTCTTAGGCACTCAAGAATGGGAAGTCTTGTGATCTTCTCATAGCTAGCTCCAGTCATGCAATGAAAAAGGCCTGTCCTTCCTATCCATGCCATTTAAATTCACCGCCACCTGCTTTCCCTGATACTTGTCAGTTTCTGATATTTTCTTTTTCATTTAATTCTATTTATTTTTTCCTTTCCCAAATAGAATGTGAGCTCCATGAAAGCAAGAGCTTTGTCTTATTTACCACAGTATTACCAGTTCTCAGAAGTGTCTAGAACATGTAAGCACCCAATAAATGTTAATTCATGCCTGCAATGTGTTGAGTACCGTGCTTGGCTCCAGGAACAGTACAATAATGAACAACAACAATAATGACAACAACAGACAAAATAGTAGTCCTTTCTGACCTCATAGAGCTCACCATCTAGTGGACTACTTCTTTTTTTTAAAATAACTTTTTGTGATCTGCCATTAGAACCTCAGAAAAGTAAATGGTGAAATCAGTCGAGGGGACACATTTCACCACTTGAAGACCGTCACTGGCATCTCACCTTTTCTTGGCAGTTACCAGCATCACATTTCCATGGTTAAATGAACTTAGTGATCTGTAGAAACTGAAGTAACATTTCACCCCTGCCTTATGACAACCTGAGCCCTGGTTTCTGGGCTTTGTGAATTTCTTCTGTTTTCACTGGCAACTTGGGGGCCGTTGAGAAGCTGGGAGACAATGCAGCTTTCACCCCCACACATCAGGCCCACACTGGGATCCCCCTGGTGGTCCAAGGATAGAGCCGAGTCTTCCTGTTGTGGTTGGGTTGCAGGAAATACTCTGCAGTCCTTCACTTTAGCCAGACAGACACATGAAAGGACACAGAGAAAACATGTAAACAAGTGGACATCTATTTTTATGGAAACAGACATAAATGGTGTGGGGGTGCTGTAGCACGTGGGTGTTTAGATTCCAGAGGGTTTTAGTCAGGAGACAGTGTAATGCTCAACAGCAGATATTTAAACGAAGCGGGAACTTTGTTGGAGAGGTCAGGACTAGAGCATTGCAGTCCACGTGAATGACACTGCAGAGTCTTGAGGACCTTAGCTGACACACCCAATGTGAGGTCAAAGCACAGTCCCTGTACTGTTCTTAAGGAGCCCTACCTGGAGCAGAGTAGGATGGTTTAGGGATTAGGCAGAGTCAGCATTTCTTCCTCCTGCCTTTCCTTCTGAAATAGTTCACCTATCAGGTCAGGTTTATTCTAAGATTAAAGAGATAATTGTAAAGTAACTTATCCAATGATATGAAACAATCTGCATAGCCAAATAGACACTGTGAGGAAAGAAACCTCAACTTTTGCCTAGATTATCTAGTTTTATTATGTCTCTAATGATTAAGTCACTGGAAATGTTTCATCTAGAGCTTTGTTTTTGCAATGCACAATTATAAAGAGAAATCCATTAGTTGAGCGAAACATGAGCGTGAACAAGGTATATTTTTCAATATGCAATACATAGAATATGTACATAGTATGTAATATTGTGTATATATAGTACATAAATATCATACATATATACATTTATCTATCTCTTGATCAATTAGTCTGTCTCTTTCATATGAAATGATAGTTTGCTGAAAGGTAGAGACCATTCTATAATACTTAGAAAATATATTTAAAATATGTCCTATTAGCATTTAAACTATTTGTGTTATTAGTGAAGGAAGTTTAAGAACAGTGCTAGAAGACTTGTAGCTTGCTTAGCTGTATCTACCTAGCTGTATTGTCTTTTGAATTGCTTTCATTTTATCACACATATTTAACATCGCATCTCCCAAAACCCAGGCCATGCTGTGAAAGGTCAAACCAGAACTTCAGAATATCCCAGGTGGTATATTTGGCCTTACCTTGCATTTTGTTTGGAGCCTCAGTAAGAAATTTGACCATCATGACTTCACAAAGCAGAGACATTGTGGTGGATTAAGAGAAAGGCACAGGACATTTCTTGATTAGGGCAGTCATGTGCCATGTATGATGTTTTGGTCAATGACAGACCACATGGACAGTGGTTCCATGAGATTACAACTAAATTTTTACTGTACTTTTTTATGTTTAGATACACAAATACCATTTTGTTACAATCGCCTACAGTATTCAGCACAGTGATATGTATAGGTTTGTAGCCTAAGAACAGGCTGTACCATATAGCCTAGGTGTATAGTAGGCTATGTCATCTATTAATAGATTTGTGTAAGTACAGTCTATAATGTTTGCAAAATGATGAAATGCCTAATAACACATTTTTCAGAAAGAATTCCTGTTGTTAAGCAACACATGACTGTAATTTTAGATTAGGGTAAAGATGTACTAGCGAGACATTATGACACTGTATTTTACTTCATTAAGCAGTAAAAATCCCTGTTGTCTGCTTCACTATTTATTTAATCATTAATTCAATACATATTTATTGAGTGTGTATTATGTACCAGGTACTGTGATAGGCACTGGGTATAATGGTTAAAATAAAATTTAAGAAAAACAGTTTACAATTAACTTGTGGAGGTAGGAAATTAAAAATTCTATAATTGCAGGTATGGTCATACAAGAATGAAAATGGTGCTATGAGAGACTGATGTGAGGAACATAATTTAGATGAGGAAATGTAGCACCTAAGTGAAATTTAAGCCAGGAGGTAGTTAGCCAGCTAAGGAGTACGTTTCATTTCATGATTTCCAGAAAATCTGCAAACTTGACATACCTTGATTTACTTTTAAAACTAAAGGCAGAAGAGGTAAAGTAACTTGTTTTTCTAGTTTTTATTGTTTTCCTGGGGAAAGATATGGAAATTAATTTTTCCCTAAAATATATTCATCATGAAGGAAGCCACATGGATTAATTGTGGAGGGTTACTTTATTTTTCTTTCAAGATCATGATTTTATCATGCATATTTAACACTCTATCTTCCAAATGATGTGTGTGTGTGTATATTTTTCCCCTGATATCTATCAAAGACCATTTGCAGAGGAAGTAAGAAATAGGAACACCCATAGGCTAGAATATTTAAATAATTTCTGCAAGATGTAGTACAAATAGTGCTTAATTTATGGAGGTTCTGCTCATTTTGCCATTTACAGCCGGGAAAGAAAAGTCCACCTGGAAAGTGACCAGAGAGAATCTCAAGGAGTCCAAGTCACTTCTTTATTTGTAATAACTGGCCTAAGAAATTAAATAGAAGAGACCATTGGGCACAGAAATAAATGTCCCTGCTCCTGCATGACTAATTTGAGGAAATAAAACAGAGAAAGGAAACATAAAATAAAACAAGGAAGGAAATGCAATCTTTCTTCTTTCCACTTTGGTACTGAAAGTATTGAACAGGGACATGCACAGTCTCACCCAGAACTTACTGTAAATTACAGTTCTGGACAAACAGACATCGCTCTCTATAACAAAAATAAAGAAAAGTCACCAAGAGAGATTGCTTTCAGAAACAATAAACAAACACAAAACCATTCCATTTTCTGTAAGGTCATCACAGATTACAAGCTAAAATAGAGTCTGAATGTGGAGTCCATCCCCTTCAAAATGGTGTTACTTGCAGTATTGTGAAGTACATACTTTGTTGGTATAATCTGTACGTGATTTCCTGAGGCCATATTAATAAATTGCGTACTGGTTTTAGTGTCTCTCAACAATGAGATATTTGAATTCCATTATTATTTCACAGGCAGAACTGAAATTAGTCAATATTTTGCCACTAAACTATTATAATTGAGGCACAGGGTCTTGAGTTGAATGTTTTTCATAAATAAAAGTGCCATAAACGTAATTCATAATTTGGGTATTTGATAATCCTCTATTTATAGACACTATTTTTACCTGTCCTGAAGGCAAGCCTGTGGCCTAAACTTGAAAATGGAGTTCCTTTCTTCATATGCTAGAGCAGAAGTCCTGCTCATCCTCTGTTAATTGCAGCTGCAAACACCCTAATCGTTAGGTTGCTGGTGCAGAGTAAGTGCTCTGGAGTAGATAACTTCAGCTTTCTCTAATGACTTTGCTTCAACTTCCTCATCTATACGTTGAGGAAACTCATTGTAGCTTCCTTAATGGGTGGACCCTTAACTCCATGGCTGTCACAGGGCACATACTCAGGATACATTAGTTCTGTATCCAAAAAGTTTAGAAAAGTGGTTTAATAATGTCAATACAGGGCATTTTCTGTAATAGTAATGCTGATATTATTAGTATATCCTAAATATTGTCATTTATTTTCATAAGGAATTTTGGATCAGCTGTATTTTATATATAAGTAAACATTTCTTAAAAACTAAATCAACGTAATAACAAAAAAACTGACTGAAAATACAGAACACAAAAACTAGCAGCTCAATAATTTGCCTTGCAGCATAGTACCCTTAAATAACAACTAGCTGGTATTGGAAGCTTTTGAAATCAACAAATGAATTGAATGGGGTGGTACATCCAGAAAGGAAAATATACTTTAAAGTCTTTAAACTCAAGTAAAGAGCAAAGGTGAGAAAACAGCCTTTGAAATCCTGTCATAAGGCAATATAAAAGAATCTTCATTGTTAATTTCAAGTAATTGAAGTTTTTTCTTGAGTATACAGGGAGATAAATTTCTCAATTTTTTTTTTTTTTTCAATTTTAGAAACTCTTCTTTCCTATATGGGTTGATCTTTCCTTGGCTTTTCTAATGAATACTTTTTAGTATTATACCTTTATCATAAAGTGATCATTGAAAATCACATACCCTTGCCCTTGGTAGTTTAAATATGTCTTCCCTGGAATTGTCTGATGATATTTAGTGTCATCAAGTCAATTATTTTACCTTCACTTCCAGATAGTTACATTTAAAATGAATTCTTAAACATTCAGAAGTGAAAAGAATGCCTCCACATTAAACCAATGGCTCTTTTGGTATCTACTACATGTGTTAATTTTTACCACATATGCATAAATTGGCAAAGTATCTTGTGGATTATAATAATCCTGATGGCTTGGAATTAATGTATTGCCTTCATAGAGCAAGTCCTGAGCCCATCTACTCTGAATCTTTGGATAAAGACAAAACTCCATCCTGCCATGCACCTGGTCAGTTGTGCAATGCTGACCAATACACAGCTGCTAACAATAAGGTTATTGTGCTTATGTAACGCAGTTCAGGATCTGATGGTGAGTCTCTCGATACATGCTGAAACATGAGGGAATTTTTACTTGCCAGGATGCCTGCTTCATGGAAAATATTGTGTCTGTGTTGAAGCATACACTTACATTTCTCTATATAAGTTGGTGGGCTTGAATTCTACCAGATTACCTTAGCTTTAAGGCAGTTTTGATGGGGTTAAGGCTCTCTCAGTCAAGAAGAGGTCATACAGTGTGGCATCGAATGTAATTTTAGGAATTGTTTTTTGAGCACTTGTTTTACCAAGTTAACAAAAGTCTGTGTTATGTTTCTTCTCATTGATGTGGGTGTGTCCTTGTGTGTGTATTATTCGAGAGAGGCTTCCATTTGTTGAGTGATCTTCATGCAAACATCTTGGAGTGCTTTACAAAAGAATTTTAAAAATCAAACCAAACAGGATATTAAACTGTGCTGCCAAACAAGTAAGTCTTTAGGCATGATTTAAATTTAGTTAATGACATAAAGAGCTAAATCTGTGAAAGGAAGCAAGTTCCTTGGATCAGAAAAAAAGCAGAAAACAGATACTCATATTTTGTCTAAGTCTTCATTTGAGTAGCTCCAAAAATGTTCTTTTAGAAGTGAAGTTGGAAAATCCCAGGCTAAGTGAACTCCAAGGAGCAGTGTTTTAGGCGAAAAGACCAGATAATAGTTCCCATGTGCATAGTGATCTACAGATTGCAAAGTGTTTTCCCAGCCATTATTTCATTTGACCATCACAATATTCCATCAAAGTAATTAAGGACAGTGTTACCCCAGTTTACAGATGAATAAACTGATGACAGGAGAAATTAAGGAATTAAATGAGGGTCACCCAGCTAGACGGTGATAGAACTGGGATTGGCATATGGATATTGCCCTAAATCCCATGTTGTGTATATAGTAACGTAAGGCTCCACTGTGGCAAACTATTTACACTGGATACTTTTCTCCTGCCATTATAGCTGCCTTGGGAGTGATAGTAATGACTCTGACTTCCCAGGGTATCTTAACATTCTGCTTCCTCTCAGGAGGATCTCGTGACATTCTTGTGTAAATGGAAAAGTAGAAAACCAGGATCTTCTAAGGCAAGTGCATTGTAAATGATAATTTCATGCCTTAATCTTTTCAAAACATTTAAACTGGCTTTGATGATTCACCTTTAAACTTACCCTTCAGTGGTTCTCAGAATCCTCCTTGAGAAGATGAAACTGGAATAATCCCATCAGCTCTGGCAGTTGTAGGTGGCTTCTCATGGTAAGGGACTGTGGTGGGGAAAATGGGGAATTCTTAATGAGCTCTCTTTCCATTGCTAAATTGAACCAAATGTAGTTACCCTTGAACCTTTGAGGATTCTATAAGCATTGTGGTTTCAGACAGTGAGTCATGACCTTGTGCCAGAGGGGTGGGTGATATAGTGTATGGATTGATTCATGAGACATATAGTGACTTTTTAAGGTATATTCTGAAATGAGTCTTCCAGCAGTCAAATTTAACTGTTGTTGTCTTTGCTTTGCCTTCTTCTCTGAAAACACAATGATTTTCTCATTCAAGGTTTGGACTTTAAAAGCTTACCTTTTCCTTGAGACACCTTTAGCTTGAGACAAATCTAGGCAGAACATTGTGTTGTGATTCCGTAGATCTTTTGACAAAGTGGATCCTCCTGCTTTACCCTCCCTGCCAATTACTTTTTCGTAGAGGCAAGATCTTGGTATGTTTCCCAGGCTGGTGATGAACTCCTAGGCTCAACCCATCTTACCCCAATTGGCCTCCCAAAGTGTTGGGATTTTAGGTGTGAGCCACCACACATGCCTCTAAACTTTTTTGTTTTGTTTCTTGAGACAGGATCTCACTGTGGCACCCAGGCTGGAGTGTTTTGGTGCAATTGTGTCTCACTGTGGCCTCGACCTCCCAGGTTCTGGTGATCCTCTCACCTCAACCTTTCAAGTACCCGGGGTTACAGGTATGCACCACCACACCTGGCTAATTTTTGTATTTTTTATAGAGATGAGGGTTTTGTCATGTTGCCTAGGCTGGTCTTGAACTCCTGGGTTCAAGCAATCCATCCGTCTTGGCCTCCAATGTACTAGGGTTACAGGTAAGAGCCACTGTGCTTGGCCAACTTCTAAATTTTAATGACTTTTTTTTTTCTTTCACCTGCCAGACCTTGGTAATCATTTCTTCTTTTAAATTTATTTTATATAATTGTCCAGGTGGTTCAAGTTCCCCTGAAAGATGCTGTATCATTGCTTAAGGTAAAATGTCTTGCACAGAATAGGAGCTCAGTCAATGTCTGCTGATTATTAGTTTTTTCCGTTCTATATAAAATTATATAGTTTTAAGTGTTAGGCAGTGTTTTTAACTTAGAACTTAAAATGGGAATCGCTGTGATGATTAAAATATTCAACATCCTCATTGCCCAATATGGCAGCCACTAGCCATTTTGCTGTTGAGCACTTGAAATGTGGCTCTTGTGACTGAGGAACTGGATTTAAATTTTATTTAACTAAATAAAATTTAAGTGTTTAAAGCCACATGTGAGTAGTGGCTACCAGACTGGATGATGCCTGCTATAAGAATGTGCAGAATGGCAATCTCAATGTGAACTGTGAGTTAGAGAAGTCCTCCTGGAGCAAGAGGAACTTGGGTCTTGCAGGAGGCAAGCAGAGAGAAGGGGTGGGCTGTTTTAAGTGACGAATATAGCAAAAGCTCTAAGGTGATAGATAGTGTTAAATTTGGGATTAGTTTCAAGACTGGAAGTAGAGCAGAGTTTGAGCACTAGGGACAGTAGTAATAATAACAGCAGACACTTATCAATTTACAGGCCACATACTAGTTTAATATTCACAACAATACTGTAACTCCAAGAATATAAGTAATTTGCTCAAAGGTACAAGTTGACATTGGACCTGAGATTGGAACTCATATCTGTCTAGCTCAAAAACCTAAGCTTTTAACCACAATACTATGCTGCCTTATGATCTGCCATGTTAAGAAAGACTTACAAGTAGGAAATAACCTCAGTGCCTTTCAACTGCTAAATGAGTAAACAAATAATGGAATACATCCAATCAATGGAATGCCACTTAGCAATATGAAAAGTAACAGAACTACAGATATATGTAACAACATGGATGAATCACAGATGCATTATGCTAAGTGAAAGAAGCCGAGGTGAAGGGCTATATACTGTATATTCCATTTGTATGACATTCTAGAAAAGGCAAAATTTATAGAGACAGAAAACAGGCTCAGGAGTTGCCAGGAGCTGGCAGTGAAAGGCAGGGATTAACTATAAAGAGACACAACAGATTTTTTTGCGGGGGATGATGAAAATAGTGTATATCTTGATGGTAATAGTGGTTACATGACTATTCATTTGTCAAAACTCACAAATCTGTGAACAAAAAGGGGTGAATTTTACTGTATATAAATTGCACATCAATAAAGTTGAATGATAAACAAAGACAGACTTACAAGTAGATCCAAGTTTATTTTCTCAATATATTTAGTTATTGTAACCAGGCTATTTTGAAAAATAAATAATTCTAAAATTTGTGTGTCTAAACATGTCTTCATATTTATGATAGATATATATATACACAATACATATAATAGAAAAATGATGTAGAAATTAAAAATTCATGAAAGTGATACGTGTGTGTATGTGTACCTAAAGCAGTTAAATTTGTATTTAACATGAGTTGACACATTAAATGTTTATTCAATTTAGTGTTTATTTGTCATTGCCATAGCAAAGCAGTTGGAGGTGAAAGAGGAAGAGATGTTTTAATTAAACATGATTGGTAAGATGTCATATGACTTATCCCATTTTCCTTTTATTGTGTTTAAACGAAAATAGCTACCATATGAAATCATCAATCCTTTTAAAGCTTGCTTTAAAAGTTTTCAATACATAATGAAATTTTCCTTTTCACTCATATTTCACTTATATAAACCACTTGTATGAGACAACAGTATAATGGATATCTTTTAAACATAGATATATTTATATCCTTCCTTCCCTCCCTCCCTCTCTCTCTCTTTTCTTTCTTTCCCTTCCTTCCTTCCTTCCTTCCTTCCTTCCTTCCTTCCTTCCTTCCTTCCTTCCTTCCTTCCTTCCTTCCTTCCTTCCTTCCTTCTCTCTCTCTCTCTTTCTTTCTCTTTCTTTCTTTCTTTCTTTCTTTCTTTCTTTCTTTCTTTCTTTCTTTCTTTCTTTCTTTCTTTCTTTCTTTCTCTTTCTCTCTTTCTCTCTTTCTTTCCTCTCTCTCTCTCTTTCTCCCCTCCCCTCCCCTCCCACCCCCTCCCCTCCCCTCTCCTGTCCTCTTTTCTTTCTTCACAGTCTCGCTCTGCCACCCAGACTGGAGTGCAATGGTGCAATCTCGGCTCACGGCAACCTCCTGCCTCCTGCCTCAGGCTTCCGAGTTGCTGGGATTACAGGCGTGTGCCACCACACCTGGCTAATTTTTGTATTTTTAGTAGAGACAGAGTTTCACCATACTGGCCAGGCTGGTCTCGAACTCCTGACCACAAATGATCTGTCCGCCTTGGCCTCCCAAAGTGCTGAGATTACAGGCATGAGCCACCGCGCCTGGCCCTCCTTTTATATTTCTAAAAGAATTCTCATGCGAAATAAACTTCCTGAAGGTCTTACATCACTTTGTGGTCACTAGTTTTGTAATGTATTCATAAAACTATAGATTAATATAATTTTTAGGCAGAGAGGACCTCAAAGTGTTAACTCTCCTTGTCCATTATCTACAGCAGGTAAGGGGTTATCCCGGTTTTTAATTGAAGAGGTGACATACAGAATTCCAACTTTCCCATGGTCATATTTCTAATGATTAGAGTTTTAGGTTTAAAGAGTGATTAATCTTAATAAAGAACTATAAACAATATTAATTAATGGTTATTATTTAAGCATTTCATTTGATTCTTTGCTTTAAGCATTTCTCTAGGTTCAAGGTTTAATACCATCATATGTAATAATACTGCAATCATCCTGGTTAATCTTAAAATAGTTTCATGAGGGAATGTGTAATTTATAGGCTATATTATTCTTTGAATGAATTTCATCTACTCTTGTGGAATTTGAGGTAATGAATCTGAAAACAGTTTGAAGGCTATAAAGCACTTAACAAATGTTATATTTTTCTTCTTTGTTTTCATCTTTCTGTCATTTCCTTGCCATTTTCCTTAGAATCTGGAGTAATATTCATGCATACATTTGCAGAGAAAACTCATATCTGATATTTTTGCTTGCTAGGAAATAGTTCTGTTTTGTACAAATAAATATATAATTAAACATGCATCAACATGTAGCATATTTTCAAAGTATGATCTAATTAAAATAATCTAAATACAAATTTTTTTTTCTGAACTGATACAAAACCAGTGATTCGTATCATAGCAACTTGTCCTTGTTTAGTAATCTTGTAGCATTGTTTAAATATGTACATATATGTGTGTGTATATGTGTGCTTGTGTGTGTATCCTTAAGACTGTGAGCCAAGACAATATTTTCTTATGTACCTCCTTTTTCTTCTTATAATTTCACTTTAAAATATTATCTTAATCCATTTTCCGATACTATAACAATACATGAGGCTGGGTAATTTTTAAAGAACAGAAATTTATTCTCTCGCAGTCTGGAGGCTGAGAAGTCAAAGATTAAGGCACCAACATCTGAGGGCCAGTTTCTCTGCTTCCAAGATGCTGCCTTGATCAGCCTTCCAAGATGCTCCCTGCCATTCTAGAGGGTAGGAATGCCATGTCCTCACATGATAAAGGACCAGAAGAGAGCAAATGCATTCCAAAAGCCCTTTTTATAGTGACATTAACCCATTAATTAGGGCAGAGCCCTCAATATGTAAATACATCCCATTAGGCCCCACCTCCCAATGCTGTTGCATTGGTGATTAAATTAAATCTCCATCACATTAATTTTGGGGAACACATTCAGGCCATAACAGATATATAGGGAGAGCAAAAGTAGACATAAGTAAGGCCAGATAATTTACTAACTCTTAATTGTGTTATGGTAATGTTAATATCTCCATAAATATATTTAAGTTAGTGAAAACTTAAACCAAATAACAAAATGGTAAATTTGTTAATGTTACGTGCATTTTAGATCCTCTAATGTATTTCAGGCATTTTGGATATATTATTTTGACCTTTGCTTATTTCTAACTATAAGGCGTGTCTCATTTCATTGTACTTCACTTAATTACAGTGTGCAGATACTGCTTTTTTAACACATTGA